CGTCCATCAGGCGCCCGATCGGTCATGGCGGATGATGCGATGAACAGCTAGAGATGATGCACGTCACGTTCTGTGCGAGACTGACGAGCATGCGAGTGTGGATGGGTGGTATCTCTGGATATTGCCAGGGAGGGATGATTGCATGTAGAAATTGTGTTGCGCGCAGCTTGTATGTTGGTGCAAGCGGCTCGATGGGGCGGAAATGCTCGAGTGGTAGTAGTTACCATCTCGGATTATTAATAAAAAGCCATGAACTAGTCACATGCTTTTCTCTCTTCTTGAGAATATCAGTAATTTTATAATTTATGATTTATCAAGTAGACTAGGTAGTTTATTAAAAAACCGAATAAGTGAATATTTCTGTTACTACTAACTTTATTGTATCGATACGTAACTAACTACTCAACCATCTTGAATATGATTTTGTTGATCAATGGTTGCCATAACTATATCACACACAATTATCTCGGGTGCAACACAACCTGCCCTTTAGCGCCGCTACTAATGCTACCCTACATGAGTGAGATCACGGTGTCGGCCTTGCCACGCCGCTTCTACAAATTTCCAGTCGGGGACAGATCGGGGCGTGTTCGGTTGAGCCGATCTGTCCCCGACACCGAACTCCGCCTCTGTCACATCAAACCCAACATCTATGAAATCTCCTGAGAATATTAAAACCAGAAGGTCCCTTTGCTCGAAAATGGCTGTGACTCTCTATTCAACTACCTGCAGTCCAAGAACTGGTGCACAAGACCACACTCTCGCATCCCCCCCCCCTTTCGTCGTTCCTGCAGCGTTTGAATAGTCCAGCTTTCCTACACCATCACCTGCAACACTTCGCAGTCTCGTTTGAAACTGCCGAATCTTCCTATTCTATAACCTCTTTCACAAGCGAAAAAAAAAACCAAACACCCAAGCTACACAATGGCCGCAGAACCACTACACTCGCCTTCGCCCAAAGAATCGCACTCCCCCCATCGCGACACCGAACAACGCCTTCACGCCACAGACGCTACCATCGACGACTTCGGCCCAGCACCCGAGGGCGGCCGCCGCGCCTGGATCGTAGCAGCCGGCGGCGGCGCCATCTTCTTCAGCACCCTCGGTTTCGCCAATTCCTTCGGCACATTCGAAGAGTACTACTTGCGGCATCAGTTGAAGGGATGGTCTGCCTCCGATATCTCGTGGATCGGTTCTTTGGCTATCTTTCTCCAGTTCTTTGCTGGGATGCTGAGTGGACCGCTATTTGATCGGTATGGTGAGAAGGTGAGTCCGGTTTTTTTTGCTCGTTTCTGGGAAAGGCAATGCGGACTGACATGGTGCGTTTGATTTAGATGATTCGGCCGGCGGCGGTGCTTTACGTTGTCTTCATGATGGTGCTTAGCGTTTGCAAGAGCTACTGGTCCATTATGCTAGTACAGGGTGTGCTCATGGGCATCGTCATGGGACTCTTGCAGATCCCGGCTTTTGCTGCTGTATCGCAGTATTTTGAGAAGAATCGGGCTGGCTCGCTTGGTCTGGTGGCATCGGGCTCATCGATCGGCGGCGTCGTCATTCCAATCGCGCTGTCTAAGATGTTGAATCAAAGCTCGCTGGGCTTTGGCTGGTCGGTACGAATCGTTGGGTTCATGATCATGCCGTTCGTACTGTTTGCCGCCGTGGGCATCAAACCTCGATTGCCTCCGCGCAAGACGGAGTTTTGGCTCGTGTCTGCGTACAAGGAAGGGCGCTTCATCGTCTTGATTGTCGCACTCTTCTTTATGCTGTTTGGCATGTTCACGCCCTTCTTCTACCTGCCTACCTACGCCGTCTCACGAGGCATGAGCCCCACGTTCGCGGGCTACTTGCTTTCCATTCTGAACGCAGCGTCCACTTTTGGTCGCATCATACCTGGGGTGCTCGCCGACAAATGGGGCAAAATCAACATGTTCGGCTTTGGAGGCGTCATTACCGGCATTGTCATTTACACGATGAACGAGGCAGACTCCAATGCAGCCCTGATTGTGTACGCAGTCTTTTTCGGCTTCACCTCAGGCACCATCATCTCGGGGGGATCTGCTGCATTTTCCACGTGCCCAAAGGACGCACGAAATGTTGGGACTTATATGGGCATGGGAATGGCCATCGCAGGCATCGGAGGGCTCATCGGACCCCCTGTCAACGGAGCTATGGTCAAGAATTATGGAGGATTCTTCGAGGTCTGTATGCTCAGTGGTACCCTGTGTGTCGTTGGCGGTCTTATCGCAATCGCGGCCAAATGGTGGACCCCACAAGGCCTCCTGGGCAATGTATGAACCTAGCATCCTTTCGCTCACTATGAGATTGACGTCTACGGCTGGGCTCGAAGTCTCGTGTGGAGTTGTGTTATATTGGCAAGTAATGGTGTAAGTTTCTGGCAGATAAACGGCTAATTCCTCATTGGGATCACTGTATTATAAGTTTAAATCAAGTTAGTTGTGCGTAATCTGTACATTATCAGTCGTGCAACATCATCTGCAAGTAAGCGCTGACACTTCAACCTTGCGCTTTTTGCATCAGAAATGCTTGCAGTTTAACGGTCTGCGATTCCCATCAAGCTTCGTTACCCCACGTGAAAAAAGCTTACTTTATCAATGGCAGATATCTCATGTTTACCCCGAATATCGATTTCGATGGCGTTCCCGCGGTTCAATGACATAAAGTTGTCAAGTAGCAGTGCAACCATGAATTTATCCATTCAGAATCGATATACCTAAACATACTTGACCATGTACATTGCTATTCATTCTTTGAAAAAAAAATGTCTACATGCGTCTCACCTCTCCCATACTTTATTTATAGACAGCAATCTTGACCCCGTTTCGATTGGAAGGCCCAATCCGCATGACAGCACGGTAGGGCTCGGGATCGCGGGCCTCGAGGCGCGAGTATTCACGTGCCATGCGTGCGAGCATGTAGCAGGCCTCAGTCTGGACCATCATCTGAGCCGGACAGCGGCGGGGCCCGCCACCGTACGGCAGGAAGCCCCAAGTACCGCGCAGGCCGTCGAAGCGCTCCGGGTGGAACTCTTCAGCGTCCGCGCCCCAGTGATCCGGGTCACGGTACATGACGGTTTTGGTCACAGAAACGATGTCACCCTTGTGCACGCGCAGCGGAGCCTGTCCGTTGAGTCCGCCGCCAATTGGGAGCGTGGTGTCTGATAGGCAGGCGCGCACCTGGGTGACGTTGTTAGGAATGAGGCGGTGGGCTGTGGTGTTGGGTGTTAGTCTCTGACGGCTCAGGCTGACTTGCAGGTAATGAGTGCGGCTACGGGTGCTGAGACTTACTCTCATTGATGACTCCGTTAAGATAGGTCATGTTGCGCAAGACGTCAAAGGTCAGGGGGGCATCTTTGCCCAGTGCCAAAACCTCCTGACGGAGTTTAGCCCAGGCTTCCGGATAGCGCGCCAGATACCAGATGCAGTTGCTAATCAGCATGGAAGTGGTGTCATTAGTAGGCACAATGATGAGACAGACCTGCGAGCGCAGACCCTCCTCATCGCCGCGCATCCGGCCGGCCATGGTCCACAAGAGATCTGCCCGCTCCGGGGGAAGCTCCATTCCCTTGCTTCGCATGCGGTCGCGCTCGTCCATCTCGGCAAAAGTGGCGCGGATATGTCCGTTGACGAAATCGTGGATTTCTTCGACGGCCGCCAACCACCAGTTCCAATTGAAGGCCCACAGGAAGCGGTGACTCTGAGCCCGCAGGCGCGCGCCTTGAAGCGCCGTCACCATGTTCATTGCGAACTTGGCGCGAGCTGGATCAGTGAGTGAATGCAGCGACTCGCCAAAGATGAAGTCGGTGTTAATGTCCAGGAACCAGCGTTGCAGCAGCGGCATGACATCAAACGTCTCGCCATCCTTAGCGAAGAGGTCAAGGAAGCGGTCGGCAAAAGGTTTGATGCGATCCGTATTGTGGTAGACGTCCCTCTCGAAGAAGGGCTTTATCAGGACACGGCTGAAAGCCCAGTCCTCGCCGTCGGTGGTGTTGATACCCTTGTCGGCAAACGGCATAGTAATCTTGGAGTTGCGGCGGATGGGCTCGACGCCAAAATCCTTGAAGTTTGTGGCGTAGACAGCCTTGAGGATCTCGGGCTCAGTCGTGTAGAACCAGCGGGTGCCGAAGAAGCGCAGTGAAAAGGTCTTGGGCCGGCCGGCGTGCAGCTTGCGCAGCCAGTCCAGGTAGTAGTCCCCCCGAAGGGCCCGCACCTGGCTCACAACGGTGTCGAGCCCCAGGAAAGGCTCCCACTGCCACATGCGCGGCGCAGGCTCGCAGCCATCAGGATCATCTTGGCCGGTGCTGCTTTTGCGTTTGCTGAAGATGGTGCTTAGCAGGATGACGGCAAAGCTCGAGGTCACGACGAGCCAGGGCAAGTCCATACTTCCAAGGCGCTCCCCCAGCCCGACGACGTTGCTTGACGGAAGCTGGGCCACGGATGGGACGGGTGCGGCCATGATGGACAGTGAATAGGTGTAGTCTGAGTATGGAGAAGTCGTAGGATATTTGGAATGCGTGTAAATCAACTCCAACCCAGGAGGTGGTAGTGACGGTGGTCAACGATGCCAATATCGTAGGCCAGCCAGCTCCTTCCATGGTGACTATTCCCCGGCATACAATGGAGATGGCACTGGTGTCGATAGCGCAACATGGACGGTTCGTAGGATTGATCTCAGCTCGCAACGCGCAATTCTCCGAGCCAACGCGGGCGGCGTATAGTCAAAGCCCACGGCGACGATGTTGCATGAAAGCTTGCGGGATTAGTAAGACCGGAATATTGATATGCATGTGGACGGTCCGTCGACGCCGCAACGGACGGACGCAGGCGCCGAGTTGACGGAGAATAAAACATTGTGGGCCTGAAGCTGACGAGGTGGGCTGGCCGGTGGGGGAGAGAGAGGAAGGGCTATTAGCTGCCTACCGTGCCTGATGAATGGCTTCATTATTCCATCCCTGCCCTTCTGCTGCATCATCCTCTACAAACATGACCCCAGACGCCACCATTGTGGTGACTGGAGCTGGTGGCGGCCTAGGGAGCGCCATGGCCGCTCATGTCAGCCGCCACTTGGGCCACTATCACGCCATCTACACGGTTCGCGATACGTCTCGGCCCCATGAAGCGCTGCGGGCCGCCTTACGACAACCCACCAGTTCGCAGCACTCGCATCAGATCGTGTCGCTAGACTTAGCCCGCCTCAGCAGCGTGCGCGCCTTCGCTGCGTCTGTCAACCGCCGTGTAGCGAGCGGCGAGATCCCGTCCATCCGCGCCTTGATCCTCAATGCCGGCCTTCTCGAGTTCGACAAGCAGATGTGGGCGCCCGCCGCCGATGGCGGCTTCGACATGACCTTTGCCTCAAACTATCTCGGCCACTGGTTGTTGACGCTTCTGCTGCTGGAGAGCATGGACCGGACCTGCGGCAGAGTAGTCGTTGTCGGGAGCTCAACTCACGATCCCTCAATTCCCATGATTGCGCGCCATTACCCGTCCGAGGCGCTGAAAACCTTCATCCATGGCAGCACTGATCCCCTCGCAACCGGCTCGTGGAGCAGCAACAAAGAAGATCCTACGTATCATAGTGGTTTCCGGCGCTACGGTGCTGCAAAGATGTGTCTGGCCATGATGGTGTAAGTAAGCCCAGCCCCTGCTCCCCCTTCCCCCTACACACTAAACCCCGTCCGTGCGAAAAGGAAAAAGATCCTTACATATGCCTAGCGGAGAACTCCAGCGTCGCCTAGCTGTAGATCCAGCCCTGAACTGCATCAGCACAGTAGGCATCGATCCAGGCACCATGTCCACGGGCATCGTCCGCAATAGCAACTGGTTCGTACGCGTCGTTGTGCACGGCATCGTCATTGCAACATTAGCCCGCTTGATTGCTATCATCTGGCCATCCCCTAACGGTGCCCTGCGCACCCCGGAAAAGTCAGCCAAAGATGTGATAGACGCCGCCCTGGCAACTGCCAAATGGCAAAACAAGGGCGGCCTGTATCTAGACGGCTCAGAGCTCAGTGACATGAGTGAGGAAGCCAAGGATCCTGGTAAACGCGCATTGGTATGGCGCGATAGTGTCAGGTATACAGGCCTCAAACAGGAAGAAACAATGCTTGTGAATTGGAACTAGTTCCAACAGTCGAATCCGACCGCCGAGTTGATACAATGTTTATTTTTGACCCACTACTATGTATCTAAAGTTGCTCTTTGTAGAAACCTAGTAATATATAAGGATAAATAGCACGCATCCTATCTATGCACATGTCTAATATATATCCTTGCACACACATACATACACATACATTCTATGCTTTACAGCTGTTAGACTTTGGTCCTTTGCAACACTTCGGTAAACACATTCAATGCACTCAGTACCGCTCTCGCAGTCGTTTCGTCCACATCCAAGGCTTGTACATTGCCTGCCTGGCCTGGGTCCCCTGTGGCCCCACCGCCCAGCAAGAGCGCGTCTATGTGAGCTGCAGCGGCGGCAAAGACGACGAACTCGCGGGCTGAATTTGCCCCGGAAGAGCTTCGCATGCGGCTCTCAAACACTTGCATGGCGACCCGCAGCACGCCGCGGATCTGGTGTAGAGACGGCTGGTTCAGAATGGGGAACTCGTTCTTCTCCAGCTCGCTGATGAGGTCGAGGCACAGCGAGGCTAGCATCTGCCGGTGCATGCGTACAAAGTGCCCATGGCTGTTGCTGTGGATCAGGAGCGACATGTATGCGTCTGACATGGCTAGGGGGGGTGTCGTCGTATTCGCTGGCCTGCCCGTGGCAGTCTGATTAGTACATGTGCCATAGAAAGCTGACATGCTGTGGCCTGTTATTTCCGGGGCATATGGTGCGGAGACAGCCATATTCGGCACGCTCGAGCTATCAGGCCTCTCCTGACTGGCTTGGGGGCAGAGGAGGAGCATGGAGATCTCCATCCGCATGCGGCGCGAGTAATAGGATGCAGGCTCGGTGAAATCCGGCTCGGAAAACGAAGTGTGAAGAGCCAACACAAATGATCGGGTACACATATCGAGCAGTCTGCGTTGGAACTCTATGGGCTGCGGCGGTTTCATTGCATTGAGCACTTGCATATTGGCGTTGCATGCCTCGTTGAGCTCAGCTCCGATGCGATACGCTTCATGCGAAGTCTTTGGCGTCCTTGGCATGTTGGCTAAATGTAGGATCCGTAACCGAAGCCGCTGTGTTTTTGCTAAAAGCCCCAGAATGGTTGTGGGTGTGAAGCCTTGTTGGTTAACCCCTCCTTCAATGTCTTCATCCGAGATGTTTGATGGTGGCTCACAGTCATAGCCGTCGGGAGCAATTGGGGCCGGTAGTCCTTCAGCCAGGCACGACTGCAAAGAAAGTTCTAGCATCGTGGCCCACAGGCGGCGATGCATCTCTGCATCTTTTGTTGATCCATGAGCTCCCTTTGTTACTGGCTCGTGAAAGAGGCGCATCCGGATTCCTACTCGGGCCGGATTATCGTCACTGAACATGAACCGGGAACCAGCTGAGTCCCCAGACTGGGCCTGCGTATGCCGTGCCAGAGTCAGCAGACACATGAGCTGGGCTATTTCGAAGTTCTCATGTGTGCCCGTGACAATCTTGCGTGACAAAAAATCCCTTGAATAGGCGATCCAGCCCGCGGCCTGCTCCTGCAAAGCACACCCCGAGTCATTGAGAACATGCGGTCCGAGTAACACGCATGACCCAATAGCAATGGCGACAAGAAGAGTACACACAAACGTATCGTCTGCATCATTCCGTTGTGATCGAGCACGATCCCAGAACTGCTCGTACCTCTGCATGAAGGATGGAACGTGGAGAATGCGCAAGGCCGACTCAAAGCTTTTGAAATATGCGTCGAGGAGAGTGTCACACTGTGTTCTTGGCGGCAACATGTCCCACACTGGATTAGCCTGGAAGGCTAAATTCTTGTGAGGCCAAGCAGTGAAGGCCACCTTGCTCTCAGTTGCCTCAATTGCGGTGCGCTCCAGCTTGGCAAGCGTACCCATGAGTAATTGAACGCTTTCAGACCCCGGTGGCAGCTGGTAATGGCTGTCCCGAGTGCGGTCGGCGAGTCCACGTAGGAGTGACCGCACCCCTTCGGGTTGTATATGTAGGTTGTACGGCTGCGTTGTATCAGGTTCAAGATTTGACAGCTGCTCCGCCAGTATACTGGAGCTTGAGCTTGTGGATGGTGGGAACAGTGGCTGCATCGGCATCTCCATCGGACTATCGGTCAAGGATAACGAAGGAAATTTTGTGCCGGTCAAGAGAGGTGGAATCGTGATATGCTTTGGATCAAGTCCGCGATTGGAAAAGTCGAAGATGGCGTCAAAGATGTTTTCATTCGATTCCGTGTGAGAGGACGTCACGGCATCAAGAGAGATAGTGTCCAGATTCAGCATGCTCTCCCCGAACATTGTTGACCCGTGAATGGAGACGTAGTGACCCGAGTGAGCCATGGGAGCAAGGGTTGTGGGTTGCTCCGGGTGAGCCTCCAAAGTCTTCGTCGGCTCGCTTGGTTTCGGGTTGTTCCAGTCAGCCCCCTGGTTCGTATTGCCGTTGCGATCGTTGTTGTAGATGCACTTGAGGGCGGAGCGAGACTTGCTACACTGCCCACAAGGCGAGGCAAGATCACAGCTGATCTTCCTCCTCCGACATTCGGTACAAGCGACGGCTGGCCGTCTGCGCTTGTGGGGTGGGCCGGGATCCATAGCACAAAGGCTTGAGCTCAATTGGAGAGAATTTGTTGCCAATGCTTGGAGGAGACAAGCTTCGTGGAGACAAGCTTTGTGGCGGCAAGCCTTTGCGGTCGCAAAAGTGCCAACCTCACTGCCTAGAAAGCCAAGCGAGGCTTAAATGAGGCGGAATCAGCGGACTTTAGTTGGCTTTCAAAATGCTGGAAGAGAGGGAATTGCTCTCAAGAGTATGTGAATTGGCCAAGCGGGCACATTGGGATCGCAGATGGGTAGACAACAGCCAAGCCTTGGGGAGAAACTGTAGGTATTATAGCCTCAAGACATGAGGTGGCACGCCTCTTTGAGCCTGCAAGCATAGTATAGCATACCCGTAACATCGTGTCGTATTGGCTTCGCTTTGCTTTGCCTAGCATATGCAGTAGTGTTGATTATTGCAGCTCTAGCTGCATATTACGCTTGCTTCCAGAGGCTTGCCATGCAATAGTATACGCGATTCATTTAGCTGTAAGAATCCTACTGTTATTTATTTATTGGATCTATATTAAGATATCGGGAATCTACTCCTTTGGCTAGCGCGCTCCTAAAGCCGGTAGTCAAAGCAGCCAGTAGGCAGAGCAGCTAGCAGTAGTATGTCTGGAGAGCTGCACCTTGTCTTCAGCGCCGTTTACGAGCTGTCAGTAGTGTTTCTATTTTTTGCCAATCAAGAGGCGTACAAGTGCGAGTAAGATAACAAATAAAATGCATGTTGTTACGAGCAACAAGAAGAATTCTCTCCCTAATATTAGGCAGACAATCAAAGGACCGAAGCAAAGGGTTGCAGTCCGTCAGGTCCAAGTCAAAAGGCAATGATCCGCGTGGGGGCGCGCAAGTCATGTAGTTGGTATCCCGCCAGGGCTAACCATCCGAGGAGAAGCAAGACGCCTAGGGGTACGTACACCCAGGTTAAGTTGGAGTTGGGTAGAGGTTAAGTTAGGGTCAGCTCGTGCTTAGGCAAAGGTCGGGTAGAGAGACTCTATTGGCTTGTGATAATATGTAGATAGTGATATCTAAGCCTATTAGAGCCTAGATATTACGTTAGATAATATAAGCTTAGTAAGATATAACAGCAGTCTTCAACGTTAAGAATCAGCAACCTGGCTAGATTAACAAGTTGGTCACCCTACCTGTAACGGGCTGAACGCTCTTTGCATAGCTCCTTGATGGAACCATGGTTCACGCTGAGTACACAATATCTGAACTACGTTTAGACGACGAGCGCAGAATCTGGGTATTACCCCGAGCACTTGCTAGATTCTGCTTACCGTCCGAGCAGTGCTTAGATAGCGTACTCAGACAACGCGCTGAGATACTCTGGCATGGCCTTTCTCTCCGTAACGCCGTGTCTACTATCTTACTAGATAAATTTTACAAAACACTAACATAAAGCTGACTAGCCTTAGTATAGAGCTAGAGAGAAGCATAGAACCCAAAACCTATATAATAACCTACCTAAACAGTACCGCCTTAGCTATAAGAAATAGGGTATTATATGCTAGTTGCCCAAACGCTAGAAAACACATAGTACGAGAAAATTGAACTCCGAGTTCGTGGCTACTTTCGTGCTCTTTGTTGTGGTGCCGTGTAATTCAATCCGAGTCATAGCCTACTAGTGCTGATAGCAAAGCAGGTTTCTTGGCCGGTGTCGCATCACCAGTTTCCACCGGCAATGGTGTAGAGACTTCTTCTTCAGCTGGGGGATCTCGCTTCCTCTTCAAAATGCCCAGATTAATTCTCGACACCTGTCCGCTGTCTTTTAATAGAAAAGGGTCGATTGCTGCTCGCGTGTTGCCAATAAGCGTTTGTTGCAATCCCTGTCGACTTTTCTCTGCTGCCAGCTCTGTCTTCAGCTTTCTCGTCTTTGTAACAGGCTTAACAGTCTTTGTAGTATCTTTCTCCTCGAAAATCGGCTTCCACGACTGTTGCTCGAGTTCTCGGTCGCCCGAAGCGCTTGCACCAAAATCGACTAAGCCGGCACGCGTCCGGTCTGCCTCTGTCTCGTCCGCAATATCCAGTCCAAGGCTAAACTTTGCTTGTATACCCTCTTTTTGCATCTCTTCCTTCTTCCAGACCTTTCTCTTCACACGGAAATCTTTCCTGAGTCGTGCGTTCACGTCGTATGGGTCTCGCCAGACTTCGCTTTGATCGTAGAGCTCCTCCACCCTTTCTTTATGTTTCTTTTCCGCGTTCTTATCTTCTAGCTTTCCCTCAAGGCTCGCAAAAGCATCTTCCCTCCGTCTCTGGCGTTCTTCATCGGTTAAGAATTTGAGCTCTCCCTCAGCTTCCGGTCCTTTGTCTCCCGGTCCGTAGTCTCGCCGCCGCGCACCTTCAACGACTTTGTACTCGCTATTCTTTGGATCGGTCTGAATCTCCCACCATCCACCGCAGGCACTGTGCTTCATACGAAAACTCCATATTGGTGTGCTGTAATAGTTACCTACCTTCTTCTTTTCGGCATTGAAACGCACGCCCTGGCCGATGATGGCTGGAGGGGTGCAGTGGTCGCACCACACGGCAAAGGGAAGCTCGAAGCGAACAGTGAGGATGCCCTGGGAGATCTTGTTTGCACGTTTGCCGAGAGGATGCGAGTTATTGTTGAAGCTCGGCGGGTTGGAGGCATCTGGCGGATAATACCGCCCCATGTTGAAGCCCTGCATCGTTGCGGGTCGTGATGCGGGGAGGGCGCGACGTGCGCTATGGCATAGGGAACTGGTGTGTGAACGGTACGAGGTTAGACTCGATGCAGGAAAGACGTTTCGCCGCGGAGGTGGATGACATAAGCAACCACTCCGATTAACTAGTTGCATCGTCGTCGGTCTCCAGTTATGCCGATGATCAGACAGCCTTGCGATGCCCAAACGTGACGTCACCTGTAAGGTGCGAATCGGTGGATTTACAGTTGTTCACATCCCAACGCCCAAGCTATGGCTAGCGGCGTAAGAAATTACTCGACTTGGAAGGTCATTTAAGGTTTCTCGTTGATTGTAGCACTAAAAGGCTTGTCTCTTTCTGCGACATGATTAGGGCCGAAACGGCAAAATATGCCCAACTTGAGTTTGCACGCGTCATTTCCAAGTTGAGGGCCTCAACGTGCAACGACAGAGGGAAGCAGTCGAAAAATGCGCTTGATCATATTCTTTTAGATGACAGGTTTATCTTTTCCTCGCATCCATGACGCCATCCAGCTGGTTATCAGAACCAAGAGTAGTCGCGTCGCCCATCTCACAACCTTGTCCTCCCTTCTTCCTCTATGTGACACTGTCGAATAATTTAAGCCTCGGGATCTGTGATGAGCTTGGTGATCTTTCCAATGGCAATCGTTTGACCCTGGTCACGGAGAGTGAAACGACCAAGCTGAGGGTAGTCTTCGAAACGCTCAACGCAAATGCTTCCGGCCGTACCGGTAATCTGCAATCGTGCAATGATGCTCATGCCCTTTGTCGCAAATCCAGGTGCTTTCTTGGATCGCCTTCCAGTGCCCTTCTCGAGCTTATGGAGTAGTGCACTGATGGTGACTTCTTCCTGTGCTGCGTGGACGTGAAGCACACAGTTGAAACCAGCAGTCACGATGGACTTGATGTCCAAAAGTACGACCTGGGCCTCAAACTGAGAAACGCAGTGAACGGGTCGCTTAGGTGAGCACAGCACGTAGCCCTACGTAGTTACATAATCAGTGTCCAGCCTAGTAACGTAGTCACAGAATCACTTACGGGCAAAATGTCTTCTTCTTCCACACCTCGGATTCGCACGCGAATTTGGTCACCACAAGCCGCGCCAGGAATTTCGTCTTCCTGCTCACCGAACAAGGCGGAGATGTGAATAGTTTGTCGGTTGGGCATCATAAGGTACCTTGCAACTGTCAGTGTGTTTCAGATAGATCTCATACAAACGACTTACTTGTTCTCCTTCTTGATGATACCGGATTCGATCTTGCCTTCGATCATGGTGCCCATGTCCTTGTACTTTGCGGCGATGGGCATCATGAAAGGAGCATTGAGCTTGCGCTCAAGGGCTTGCATGTTGTCTAGGTACTCGAGCAGAGATGGTCCATCGTACCAGGGTGCAAGATCCTACGAGTAAAATGGTCAGTGCAGCCACTAACATAGGTCTCTATTGGTCTTACCTTGGGCACACGGGTCTTGATTCCAGTGAAGGTTTGGGCGCTGACAGGCATCATGCTAATGTCAGTCTTGGGGTTGTATCCAAGACCCTTCAAAAAGGCTACGACCTTGGTTGTGCACTCCTTGAATCGGTCCTCTGACCACTCGACGGTAGGGTCGTCCATCTTGTTTACGACAATGAGAATCTTGTTAACACCCTGTGTCTTAGCCAACATGGCGTGCTCTCGGGTTTGTCCGCCCTTTTCGAAACCAGTTTCGTACTCTCCCTTTCGAGCAGAGATGACGAGAATACCAACATCTGCCTGTGAAGCACCACTGATCATGTTGGGGACATAGGTCTTGTGGCCGGGGGCATCGAGGATCGAGTATCGTCGCTTCTCTGTCTCAAAGAAACCTCGACCAACCTCGATAGTCTTACCCTGCGCACGCTCCTCCTTGTTCAAATCGAGCGCCCATGAAATGTACCATGTTTCTCGACCAGCGTCCTTTGCCTCCTTCTTGTACTTGTCGAGGGTTCGCTCATCAACCATGCCAGTGGAAATGAGGATACTGCCACCCAAGGTAGACTTTCCTGCATCAACGTGACCCAAGAAGATGATGTTGACGTGCTCCTTGCCGTAGATTTCGGCGAGAGTCGCCTCGTCGATGTCGGCGATTTCGTTCTCAATGTCTGGTTGCTTGGCGATTGGCCTTTCAGGGGCCTTCTCTTTGGGGGTTGGACTGTTGCGACCTGACGAGGGAGTTGGCGAAGTACGACCAGAGCCTGCTGAAGCTGGAGTGGGTTCTCCGGTCTTCTCGATAGCCTTTGCGGCAGTCACCTTGGTTCCAGCGTCGATGGTTCCCTTCTCCTTATCGGCCTTTTCCTTGGCAGCAGATGGAGCCCCTGGTGTTCCGAGACTGAGGACCTTGGTTCCGCCTGCCTTTTCAACCTTTGGAGTAGTAGTGTCGCCACCGATAGAGAGAACCTTGGCCTTTGGTGCACTGTCGCCGCCAATGGACAGAACCTTGGCCTTGGGTGCCTCCTTTTTGGCTTCAGCAGCGGGTGCGGCGCCCGCTGAGCCGGCAACATCTGTGTCTCCCCGCTTCGCTATCCGCACAGGAGCCTGGCCCTGGCCTTGTTGTTGCTGCTGGGGCTGGAAGTTCTGCTGGCCCTGGTACTGGCCGTAGTTGGGGTAGCCGCCCTGCTGGCCATATTGTTGGCCGTATTGAGGGTATCCTTGTTGCTGCTGGTAGTACTGGCCCTGGTTTGCGTACTGGTTGTATCCTCCATACTGCTGGCCATACTGGTTGTACCCACCCTGGTAGCCTCCGTAGGGCTGGCCAGGCACGAAAGAGCTCGCGCCGGGCTGGAATGACTGCGCTCCGGGGGTGAAGGTGGGCGCATTATTGAGGTTCATGCCCTGCGCTTGCTGCGAGAGGCGCTCCTCCTCTTGCTCCCAGTTGTCCGCCATGGTGATGGCGCTTTTTTCTTTAAGAGGTGAGGGCTGAGTTGGGACGGAGAATGCGCTAATGGCCGGGGATGGCGGGCGTATGAGAATGCGCAGAGAGGCCGTATAGGTATCTAGGCAGCCCAGGAGCGACGGGAGGGCTAAATAGGCTGGCGATCGAGTGTCGTCGGCGAGAAGCGAAAATGTTGCCGTGTCGTTGATGCCCACGCAAGGATTTGGCGGGGTTGTTCGCAGTGGCGCAGTGGGGCTGACTCAGGCTTGAGCTGCCCTCGCTGCCTAACATTGGCCAGGGCGCCCTCGCTGCGACTGGCACCGCAGCCAGCAACGAACAACAAAGCCGCTCACAAATAATAAGCCATGACACAACCCTTTTCCATATACTTCTAGTATTTCGTCATTCTTTTCGCCTCCTCCCCTCGCAGCTTGCGCATTCACCCGGTTCCATGATCTCATTGCTGCTCTTGACTTGCTTGTTCGCCGCGTCCGCATAGTAATCCTCCAGGCGACGCTCATCTTTATTGGTCAAGATGGATGTCCTACTCTCAAAGGTATGACTGTTTTCTGACTCTTTGTACGCCTGCAGATGACCGTAGAGCTGCATGTTCGTTCCCTCTTGCTGCCAGCAAACTGACAATATGCCAGGTCACCCAGCAGGCTATGAGCTATGCTATCAGAAGCGGCATAGCAATCACCAGTCACTATGCACTCAAGCAGTGCGGCCGTCTAATGAAGACTGTCGATGGCCAGGAGAAGCAGGAGCTTGCTGCCCTACAGATGAGGTTGGATTCTAAAATCAACATCATATCCCCTGCCATCGACATGATCGAATTAATAGCAGCGCGTGGCAATACATCGCTGGAATCCGCCGTCGGTCTGACCAAGTCGCTGCGGTGGGAAATCCAGACACTAGGTAGTCGAGTTGAGAAGGCCGTAGTCGAGGAGCAGCTCACCAGGAGAGGAAGCTCGAGAGCAAAGTCACGCGACCAAAACATCATCGAACTAAAGGTGATCATCGGAGACATGAAGCGACTATTGGAGCGCATCGAGGATGCAGTGCCGCTAATCAACCTTGCCATCACCACATCTGGTGTCAATCTCTCCACCACGCTACCGGCTACAGTGTCGCCGTCAAGGCTATTGCAAGCAAGTACTTTCCTTACCTCTGGCGACATGCAGTACTGTGCAAACAAGCCTAGAGCCCAGCAGATTGGACCAACGTTCACCCTATCCATGTACATGCTATTCTCTGGTCATGCAAACCGACCTCACGAAGAAGATTTACGCGAGACGACTTGGAAAGAAGTCATGCACAAGGCGCGTGTCACGCTTATGAGAGTGCCGCTGGATAATGTCTACGACTACCCTACACCCTTTGGGCAAGACAGTAGCCGAGCTGACGAGTCAAGTCACTGTCATATACCATCCGAAAGTATTCTACAAGAATTTGCATACCAGCTGCTCATTGTCGAGGACCTGGACGACGGTCGCATGCACGAGTACGAAGACGGCGAGCCACAGCCTGAGCCCTATGATGGCATTCGTGAAGCTGGTGTGAGAGAGATCATACCCATCCACGAAGTTGCCAAAATCTTCTATGCCGATACTGGTAAGATTCTTAATATTGGTGCTGACGGCGAGAGCAACAACCCCATCTTGCTACTCAAGAGAGACGTCAATGCAGCACCCCCGCGGCGCATGATGGAGCGAGATACGGATGATACTAATTATGAATCTGATGATTCCCAAACTATCGGCGGTGATGAATCAGATCTAGAGCAAAGTCAGCTCGAAGACCAACTGCGACGCGAATCAACTCCAAACCCAGAACCACCAGCCCCACAAGAGCCAGAACAACCAACATATCCCTGGCGTCTGCCTCCCACTCTGGATCTAGAATGGATGGCCTTTGAAGTGTACACTGAGGACCCATTGACCGATTCAGAGATCGATGAGACAGAGGACTTGGAAGAAGAGGTCTCATCGCCTACTCCAGCGGATCGGCCAGCCCACAACGATCGTTCAGACTCTTCCTCCTTCCTCGGCCGCTTCTCAAACCTTCATTTACAACCCAGCACACCGACAGATTCG